TGCGATAAAAAATTTATTGGATAAATATAATTATTTTAAAATTAAATATATTTAAATTAAAATAAGAATAATACAGGACACCAAAATGTTATTGCCAACATATCAAATGCATGAGGTTCCACAAATCTATAAGCTATTTGCTGGAGTTGTCGTCAAAATTAATATAATAGCATGCAAAAATATTAGAAGATAGATTTCAATCATCTAAGCATGCGACTATTTCTCCTATTCAAGTATAATTTTATCTAATTATAAAACTTTTGTACAATCAAACGATTGATTTGACTTGGCCTAATTCATGAACAATTTAGAAAAATAATTCATATGTCGATAATTTATAACTAAAGAAAGTTAATGATGTAATATCTTCGCTTGTCACTTATTAAAAAAAGAATAAACTTTCATTAATGAAACCAATAATTTACGTCAATGATTGCTGATGGAGGTGTGTCAGTGAGAATCAACGTTAGTATTGTTGGTAATTCAAGTAAATCTGATGTATCACAACTTCATTGGAAATCAAATTATGCAAGGAAACAATACGAATCAGTTCAAGAATAATTTTTTCTTATTGGACTATAGAAATGAGTAATTAGTTATTTCTATAAACATGTCTAAACTACGTGTATTTTATTTACCTTACATCTACGTATCGAATCAAGTTATTTACTTACTTTTTAATCAAATAATAGTTTTGTTTTATTTTTTAAGGGTCCTCCTGTGAGCGATTTCATAAAATAAGACAAGGCCGTGTTTGGAGAAGGCTTCAAAAACTTTCTTTATTTCGAAGAAATCAGAATCAAATTACTTTTATCATATAGGAATCCTGATATTACTCTCAATATTTGTTGTCAAAAATATTTTTAATCTTAAAAGAGTCGATTTTAATAAATCGACTTCTTACAATGTAGGATAGTAATGGAGTACATTTTACTGTTATTTAATATCCATAAATAGACCTAAGTTTGGACAATACAATTACTTCCCTGAATATAGAGTAATTGATATCATTTTATTTATTATTATTTTTTTCTAAACACCCTCTTGACTACCTCCCTATGATGATTTGTCGAATACTATAGATATTGGCCAAGTTTGATGCTTGAGAAAATAATGTCTAGTCTTGTCGAATACTATAGATATTGCACGTCTATAAAGTGCTAGGTCCCTCATTGGTGTGCCTTCACTTGCTGCTAGTAATAGGTGTAAGACGTGACTTTCACATTTTCCATTTCAACTTTTTTCCAACATGTTTGATATGTAGCTCCTTTGTGTCCCTCAAATCCTAAATAAATAGTGCGACTCTCCCATGTTTCTCAATGCGAAGTTTCTGTTTAGCTTCGGTATAAAACTACTTTATTATCGTTGCTGGTTGCTATTATGTCATCCACATTTATATAAATGTCATCACAATTAATAAAATTTTCAATTAAGAAGAGTTTCTTTTAAATCTATCGTACCGTGATGCAGTAGGAGCTTGCATTAAGCCATAAAGAGCTTCACTAGCTAGCACACTTGATTAGGTTTGGATTGGTTTACAAACCCCTCTAGCTGGATTGGTCTAATTGTCCCACCCTTAAGAGTCCGCCATAGTAAGAACATTTCTCATAGTAGACGCCTTAAGCATTAGGCAAGGGGATTGGTATGCAACAAGTCTAGCCCTCTATCTGTGTGTGTATGGAGAGTTTGCTTCGATTAAAAAACCTACTATATTATAAGTAGGAGAAGAAGGCACCAGCTCCATTTTTTTTTTTTTTTTTGACATAGAAACCCGCAGCCGCTACCCGTCAACGGAGCTCCGACCACTGTAAATACACACTAGGTAAACTCCATTTCATGTGCAATAGCTCGTAAACCACACAGGAGAGGTAAAACCCAACTCCATTTCTTATTTTTCATCAATGCAATGTAATCTAGATTAAAAAACCTACTATATTATAAGTAGGAGAAGAAGGCACCAGCTCCATTTTTTTTTTTTTTGTTGACGTAGGAACCCGCAGCCGCTACCCGTCAACGGAGCTCCAACCACTATAAGTACGCACTAAGTAAACTCTATTCCATGTGCAATAGCCCGTAAACCACACAGGAGAAATAAAACCCAACTCCATTTCTTATTTTTCATCAATGCAATGTAATCTTCATCATTGCATTACTCCAATATATTGTCATTTTTCAAAGTTCTAGTAAAACTCCCTAAGTTCTAAATCACACTATGTGCTGCTTCATAGATTCCACTAGTTTGGCATGAAGACACCCTTCACTAGTTACAATATCAAGAAGTAACCTACATTATGCCCCACCTCAATTTCCACAGATATGTCATATTGGGATTTGCCTCAAAATTGCCAACTTTGGAGGACTTCTACTGCAAATACAAGATAAAGTTATAATTAATTTCATTGTGTTGATGCCATGAATCATGATGGGTTGAATGAGAAGGAAATGGATGCCTAAGAATTATGGTGGAAAGTTTTTCATTGAATAATAAATTCTATAAGATGTATACTCTACAAGTTGGACAACAACATTTGTAGCCCTTGTGTGACTCAATGAAGCCAAGAAATACACAATGGAATGAAAAGTCAAATTTGTTTATTTGTCCCCTAACAATTGTCTTGATAGTAAATTGGTCGCAATCGGTTCTTCATTTTTTAATTTTCATACTCAGCTCTTAACGATAGAAGTTGTCCTAATTTTTGTTAAAAGTCGCGTGATCTTCTTGGACTAAGATCCATTTCAAAGTTTTTAGTCACGAAACTAAGTTAGGACAAGTTTGGCTTCAAAAAGTCATGATATGTGAGTCTCAAGTGAGACTTTGATTAAGTCTTAGATGGTCTTAGTCGTCATTAGAGACGGATTCTATAACTATAATTAAAAAGTTATGAGGTTCAATTTATCGAATTTTAATAAGTTAATGAACAATAGTGTGATTGTTCCTTTTAATTATTCCTCAAAAAACTTGATTGTGAAGTGTTTATAAAGAATCTAAATTATAAATAAATATACATATGTGAATAATATTTGTGAATTCCTCGACGTGCAAGCGTAGTAATCATAAAACAGAAGAGGAAGAGACTCTTTATTGGGTTTGCAATTTGCGAATGCATGGGTCCATGTCCTCTTCCCCACTTACTCCGTCCCCTATCACTCTGTGGCCCCATGTCCCCTATCACTCTGTGGCCGTCCTCGCCGACTCTCTTCTGTGGTCCCACTCCTTCAAACGTGTTTCCATTCCCTTACAATTCTCGCACGTGAATGGACGTCCAACTCCTGGTCCTATAAATACACAAGTACACAACCTGCAACTAATATCCACGACCTACCCCAACTTCCTCACTGTTCCAATGAGTCAATTTGCAAAAAGGCATTTGAGA